CTCATGGACTTAACAGACATCTATAGGACACTGCAGCCAAAAAAATACAAGTACATATTTTTCTCAAGTGCGCATGGATCATTCTCCAGAATTGATCACATACTGGGCCACAAGACAAACATCAACAGATACATGAAAATCAAAATCATTCCAACTATCTTCTCTGCTCATAAAAGCATCAAGCTAGAAATAAATCATTAAAAGAAAACAAGGAAACTTCCCACTTCATGTAGATTGAAATCCACACTACTGGAAGACCACTGGACTAATGAGGAGATCAAAGAAGAAATTAAAATATGCTTTGAGTTGAATGACAAGGAGGACACCATTTTCCAGAATGTATGGGATGCTGCTAAAGCAGTAATAAGAGGAAAATATATAGCAATACAGCTCACATCAACAAACAAGAAAGAACTCAAAGAAACAACCTAACCTCACATCTTAAAGAACTAGAAAAAGAACAACAAAAAACCCTAAGGCTAGTAGAAGAAAGGAAATAATAAAAAACAAAGCAGAAATAAATGAATTAGAAATTAAAAAAAAAATCCAAAAGATCAAGGAAACCAAAAGTTGGTTCTTTGAAAAAATAAACAAAATAGACAAACCTCTAGCCAGGCTCACAAAGAAAAAACAGGAAAAAACACATATAAATAGGAGTATAAATGAAAGAGGAGAAATCACAACAGACTCAGTAGAAATCAAAAGAATAATAAGAGATTATGATGAACACTCATACACAAACAAATTTAACAGCCTAGAAGAGATGGACAAATTCCTTGAGCGATATAATCATCCAAAGCTAGACAAAGAAGAAATAGAACAGCTAAACAGACCAATTACAAGCAGCAAAATTGAAGCAGCATTCAAAGCACTCCCCAAAAACAAAAGCCAAGGCCCAGACGGCTTCACAAATGAATTCTACCAAACATTCAGCAGTGAATTAGTGCCTACCCTACACAAACTCTTTCAAAAAATTAGAAAAGAAGGAATACTACCAAATACGTTCTACGAAGCCAACATTATACTAATACCAAAACCAACCAAAGACAGCACAAAAAAAGAAAATTACAGGCCAATCCCCCTAATGAACACTGATGCAAAAATCCTCAACAAAACCTTGCCAACAGAATCCAACAATGCATCCATAAGATAATTCACCACTACCAAGTAGGATTTATTCCAGGGACACAAGGATGGTTCAACATCCAAAAATCAATCAATATAATCCAACACATCTACAAAAAGAAATATAAAAACCATATGAAAATATCCATAGATGCTGAGAAAGCATTTGACAAAGTACAACGCCCATTTATGATAAAGGCCCTTGAAATTCTCGGGATACAAGGAACATACCTCAACATCATAAAGGCCATATATTTACAAGCCCACAGCCAATATCATTCTCAATGGTAAAAAGCTGAAAGCATTCCCATTAAGATCTGGAACAAGACAAGGATGTCCACTCTCACCACTGCTTTTCAACTTAATACTGGAAGTCCTAGCCAGAGCAATAAGACAAAAGAAAGATATACAAGGAATCCAAATAGGCAAGGAAGAAGTCTAACTATTATTATTTGTGGATGATATGATAATATACATAGCGAACCCCAAAAACTCCACAGAAAAACTTATTCAGCTAATCAATCAGTTTAGTAAAGTGGCAGGATACAAAATAAATGCACAAAAATCAGTAGCCTTCCTATACACAAACAATAAATCTGAAGAAGAAGAAATCAAGGAAACCTTTCCTTTTATTTATTTATTTGTTTGTTTGTTTGTTTGTTTGTTTGTTTATACATGCACTGGGTACAGTCAGAAGTGCTGGAGGGTGAGAGAATTCACCAGAGCCAGAGCAGGGAGCAGAAGGACCGAAGTACACCGCTGAGGGGAGCAGCGGGCGGCAGGAGAGGTCTGCGCGCCAAAACTTTCCTTTTATATTGAAACAAAAAAAAATGAAATACTTGGGAATAAACCTAACAAAAGAACTAAAGGACCTATACAAAGAAAGCTGTAAAACACTGTTAAAAGAAATAGAAGTAGACACAAAGAAATGGAAAGACATCCCCTGCTCATGGATCAGAAGAATTAAAATTATGAAAATGGCCATCCTACCAAAAGCAATCTACAGATTCAATGCTATTCCAATTAAAATTTCAATGTCATTCTTCAAAGAAATAGAAAAATATTGATGAAATGCATATGGAGCCACAAAAAACCCCAAATAGCCAAAACCCTCCTGAAAAAGAACAGAAGAGAATGGAGGCATCACTCTCCCAGATTTCAAACTATATTACAAAGCCATAATAATCAAAACTGCATGGTATTGGAAGGCACCAGAACAGACACATGGACCAATGGAACCAAATAGAAAACCCAGAAATAAACCCACTGATCTATGGTCAACTAATCTTTGACAAAGGAGCAAAGAATATGCAATGGAACAAAGAAAGTTTGTTCAATAAACGGTGCTTGGAAAACTGGGTTGCTACATGCAAAAGAATGAAGCTTGACCACTACCTCACACCATGCACAAAAACCAACTCAAATGGATTAAAGAACTAAACATAAGACCTGAAACCATAAAATACATAGAAGGAAATATAGGCGAAACACTACATGACATGCACCTCAAAGACATCTTTACAGACACATCACCCAAAGCAGTGATAGTGAAGGCAAAGATAAACAGCTGGGACAACATCAAATTAAAGAGATTCTGCACAGCAAAAGAGACAATAACAAAAACAAAGAAACCCCACTAACTGGGGAGAAAACTTTTGCGCACAGCACTAATGATAAAGGACTGATCACAAAAATCTACAAAGAGGTGATGAGACTCAACAAAAACAAAGAAAATAATCCAGTCAAAAAATGGGCAGAAGAGCTAAAAAGAAACTTCTCCAAAGAGGAAATGCAAATGGCCACTAGGCAAATGAAAAAATGTTCAACATCACTTGCAATCAGGGAAATGCAAATCAAAACTACAATGAGATACCATCTCACACCAGTGAGAATGGCACATATTAAAAAAAACTAGCAACAACAAATATTGGTGAGGTTGTGGAGAAAAAGGAACTCTCCTGCACTGCTGGTGGGAGTGAAAACTAGTCCAACCCCTATGTAGAGTTGTGTGGAGATTCCTCACCCTACTAAAGATGGAGCTTTCATATGATCCAGCAATTCTACTCCTAGGTATTTACCCAGACACAGAAACATTAATTCCAAAGAGCACCTGCACCCCTATGTTTATAGCAGCACTGTTTACAATAGCTAAGCTTTGGAAACAACCCAAATGCCCAAAAATAGATGACTGGATCAAGAAGATGTGGTACATATACACCATGGAATATTACTCAGCATTCAAAAAAGATAAACATATGCAATTTGCAGCAACATGGATGGAGCTGGAAGGGATCATGCTCAGCGAAATAAGCCAGAAAGAAAAAGAAAAATACCGGATGGTCTCACTCATAACAGGAATCTAGAAAACCTAAATAAGGGACCAGGAAAAGAATAACTATAAGAAAGAACAAAATCAAAATCAACAAACGGCTATGAACCAGAGACACACTTTGGGGGGGGGGCGCGGAAAGGAGGGATTGGGGTCAAAATCAGCAGGTTACAATTGTATGGGGAATATAAAAATAAAAAAATAAATTAAAAAAAATCACTGGAAATCAATTATCCTTAATCTGAACCTCATCAGAGACAGGAAGGCAATGAAGAAGCTATAAATAATTGGTGAGTCTAACCAGAACTGATGGAAAAAATAATTCATGATTCCTCATTCCACACTAATGGTATTATCAATGCTTCACTATTGATTGGTAACCAAATAATAATTGATTTATAACCAAAGTTTATAAATCTGTTTCTCTTGTGTCTATTTAGGATCTACAGTGTTGCCCTTCTATATTAAGTAGGCCTTTTAAATTACATTTTTAAGAGACAATGAAAAAGTTTTTTTCCCATATATCTAAACTATACTTTCTTGTCAAAGATGCTTGAATGTTCTACATCAGAAATGATCTACTTTGAAGAATAGTGGAAGTAATCTTGTCTGGAGCAAGAATTTTTGATAATTGTTTAAGATAATCTAATGCTTATATTGAGGATAACTAATTGAGGACAAGTAGTAACTGGTCAGTCTGGGATTTGAATGAAGGTTTGGTTGGCTGAAAAACTCCATTTTTAACTACCTCTCTTATATTTTAAACCTCCCTGCTTCCCAATCCATGCAGTTTTCAGGTTATACTTTTCAGTCAAAGCATGAAAATTAGGCAGTAAAATGGATTGTGACAACTTTCTACTAGTTTTCGAGGAGAGGATTTAGTCACTATGAGGTTGATTCATACATGTGGCTTTATTGAAAAACTTCCTACCTCATTTCTGGAGGTCAGATACATTTAGGAATGGCAAAAGACCTTAATTAGACCAAACAAGCTATTCAATACTCCAAGAATTTGCTAAGCACCGTGCAAACCATGAATAGGGTCAACAAATAGGTTTCATGTCTACTCAATCTATCAATATATAACCACCAGGTATATTCAAGTGTTTATTGATTTACCTATCCTGGGAAAATGACATTCTTAGACTTTCTAGAACTGATCTGGTAGGACACCTTTAAAATTTGGCATTCTTGCTTGCCATCTACATACAGCGGAAACATGTAAAAGCTCTCAGATTAAATCACTTTTTCTTTCTTGTCCCATACAAGGTGCAGGTGCTTCCAAGTGCAGGTTCTGGGTGAGAGGGAAAGGTTATCACATGGCTACTTAGTTTAGCCACAATTAATAATTTCTTTGTACTTCCCTGAGGGACTTGATCAAGATATCTAAGAGCTGCAACCCATAGAGAACATGTCTTCCTTCTAAGATCAAAGGAATAATGAGAGTTTGGAGTTCTCAGAATGGAGGGACTAGCATACAGGCCGCTCCATAGTCAGTCAATTCACTTTTCCATTTAGGCTTCTTTTTATGGCCCACAGCACTCACCTCGGCCTGCCAGATGGGGTTCACAGTGTTGCCTATGATCTTGGATCTCCTCTCCTGTCCATGGTGAGGAAGGGCAGGGAATATGCTGTGTTTCCCAGGTTGAATAGAGATCTTCAAGTAAGGGTCTGGATTGAAAAACATCCCTTTCTTCAATCCCATGGCCTGAAAATCTAAGGTGAAAGATCAAATTAGACTTTCAAGGGAGAAAATTTCACCTAAAACATAGATGACCTTTTTAATCTTTAGATTAATTTTCCCTTAATTATTAATAGTGACTGATATGTCTACATAACTCACTATTTGAAACATTTATGATCATATTGTAAATCATTTTGAATCATTTGGAGGGGTGGGAGTCCTTGGAATAAACCAACACAACTAGCATTGGGATCACTATTTTTATCAAGAGAGGCCATTGGCTCTTACTAAACTGAGCTGTGGCATTCCTCAGACAAGTTAAGATAATGGGGTGGAGGTGAGGGACTGAGGGCCACCTCAGAAAACTTAAGTACACATTGAGGGAGGAAAATTTGATGGGTCTAGATGATGGGTCTTTTCTGCAAAACGAAGACATAAAAAATAAAAAGAAATTCAATTAATAAACATCTTTACCAGTAAGGAAACAGAGAATTAATAAAAAGGAAGAGAACCATGTTGTTATGGAGAGTAAGACACTGAAATTTAATTTGTTCCATTTAATTGAAATTGTCTGATAATATAAAATCTCATGCTGTGGAAAGAGATTGAGAAAGAGAGCAATATATACCTTTTGTGATAAAGGTTGATAGTTACTCTGAGATAATTTAAATTATTTTTTCATTTATTGGAAATATGTTAATGATGTCAGCAAACATAATAATATATTTTTTCTTTTATGAGAAAGACAACTACCAGATTTTTTCCACTCATAGGTAAAACATAAAAAAAAAAAAAACAAGTAACAAACAAACTAAACCAAAACAAACCCTACAAATTTGACTGTAGAATTGAGATTACCCGAAGGACAGAGTGAGGGGCAACCGTCAAAATAGGAATGGGTTCCAATGGACTATGGTGAAGGATTATGTATACTTTGGTGGTGGATGTGTTGTGATAACACACATTTGAAAGCTGTGATCCTGTTCCTCTAAATCACACATAATGTTGTAAACCAATTTTACCTCCATCCAAAAAATCATAAAATTAAATATTTCTATTATTTAAGTATTTCCCCCCAAATTATTCATATTTACATATGAATGAAAGAAACTGAGGTAAAGATACATGGTATAAATTGTAAGGTGTTTAAGTAATTTTTTACTAATGAATAAGTGTGAGAGTTTTTAATATGAATTTACTTAAAAGTTATTTTGAGTTGATTCAAGGTTTTTTCCATAATGAAATTATTCTTAGTATCCTGCATTATAATATATAGTCATGAGGAGAATAAAAGGATAAAAACATACAGCAAGCATGAGAGAAATTTGCAAAACCCAAATGGCACGAGAGTAGTGTGTGGTGAAAGGAGGTAACCCAGCAGCCTATCTAGAAGGTGGACCCGGGATAGAGAACCAGAAGCAGGACTTCGGGAGGTTCCCACCATCTCAGAACTAACAAAAGTGGCTTACTGGATCTGAACTGGTTGTGCGAACTGTGAGGTTCATGCTTTCCTTCTGGAAGTCTGAACTTTGGTAAGATGTAGGCGGGAAGTACCTCTGTAACCAGCTTCCACTAGAAACCTTGGGCGTTGAGTCTGGAATGAGCCTTCTGGGTATACAACATTGCATATGCATTGTCACAACTTGTTGCTGAGGAAATGAAGGCATTGTGTGTGACTCCACGGGAGAAGATTAATGGATTTTGCGCCAGGTTTCCATCAGACTAGACCCCGGGCAGCTTTTTTCTTTGTTTATTTGCTTTATATTCTTCCAATGTAATAAATCATAGCCATGAGAGTAACTATATGCTCAGTTTTCATAGTGAATCAACAAGTCTGCAGGTGCACCTGTCCCAGGGTGTAACAGCCTTACAAATTTACTTCATTTAACTTTGTTATACCTGTCTCAGAGTACAAACGACATGCAAATTTATTCATCATAAAATAATCTGACTACAAGCATTTTCATCACTACCACTACCACCTACCATTTATTGTCAACTTACTAAATTCTGGGAATTATTCTATGCCCTTCAAATACATTATCTGACTTAATCCTAATCACAGACTACAAGGTAAATGTATCTAAATTTAATAAGAGAAAATGGAGGATGATAAACTAAGTAACTTTATTAGGTCTTCAGAGATGGTCAATTTAGCAATGAAATTTGAATCTGTTGTTTTGATTCCAGAGTATGTGCTTTTAAACATATGTTGTATTACCTTTTATTAAAAAAAATGTCAACTTTGGCATAGGTTAAATTTTCAAGTGCAAATGGGTCTTTTTCTACACCCTCTGTAGTCTGTCAAACAAAAAGTCTGTACCTGCATCTACACATCTTATCATATATTGGATAACTGATTAATCTGATTCATCATTTGTTTTGTTTTCTAGAAGGAAACATATCGCTTAATTGCTCACACATTTATTGTTCCATATTAATCTTATTAACTTTTTAATAACTCCTCTGTCAATAATTTGGGATAGTGATCAGAATTATATTGAATTTATGGGCTGGTTTTGGAAGAAATGTAATGTCATTTATAATATCAAAATTTTTCACTCAAAAACATGTTTCTTCATTTTTCAGGTCTTCTTTCATGCCCTTTAGTAACTGTTTATACTTTTCTTTATACAAACGTATAAGCTTCAGTTCAATTTGGATACTTATTAAAATATGTTTCATGGAGTAAAAACGTTTGAAATCTACTGCAATGAGACTTAATTTAAAAGTGCAATAATTTGGGAGTTAAGTTGACTTATATTTTATAATAGTTATGGCATACACACTATTGAACATTGTAACTTAAGGAAACTGATGTAACTCAAGTCTCTATTTGTTCAACTATGAAATTATTGAATGAATACATATAAGAACATGTAGGGTTTCATTATTTCCCAAAAGTAATTTTTTTTTATTTAAGAGTTCTTAATTTTCCTTTATTTTTGACTCTATTGTTGTGGTGATAAGAAACACTTTTAATATTTTTAAATAAAGGAGGAAAAGAAACAGAATTGTAAGATTTTTTTAATTTAAAGATTTATTTATACAAGAACTGGGGTACAGGCCAGATGCGCAGGAGGGTGAGAGGATTTACCAGAGACAGAGTGGGGAACAGAACAGGCAGACTGACTAAATACACTGCTGAGGGGAGCAGCGGGCATGACAGGAGAGGTCTGGGACACCATATGGGACCCTCGCCAGCTGGCTGGGATCGAAACGGCACTGCAGAGGCTGTGGACAGCTTCAGAGCACTGCGCTCAACCGCCTGTGCCACCAGGGGAGGCCTAAGATTATTTTAAATTGTAGTGTAGTGTCAACCATTGTTAGTCTTTTTTTTCTAATTTTTTCCCTCAGTATTCTTCTATATGTAGTTGGGAATCATATTGAATGTATAATATTGCATTCTAATTATTTAAGGGGGGGGCTGGGATCTTCCCATGCAGTTTATTTTATATTTTATTTAATTGATTTGTAAATTTTATACACAACTGTATAATTTTGGGATTACAATTTTCACATATGTACATATGCTTCACTCACCATCCAATAAAGCACCAGTGCCAAAAACCAGTCACCTTCCCGCCTTTGTTTTCTCCTCCCTTTTGGTCCATGTGCTCTCGCAACCATTGTATTTTTCAGACTCTAAGGATTACTTTTGATGTGTTTTCCAGTTTTATTCCTTTGATTATTGCACAAATGAGTGAAATCATCGTGTAATAGTTTTTTACTTTCTGAATATTTTTAGCTAGAATAATCATCTCAATCATACACGAAAATCCATTTTGACCCCAAAAGGTACTATTTCAGGTTTTTTTTTAAAAGATTTATTTATTTATTTATACAAGAACCGGGTACAGTAAGAAGTGCGGGAGGGTGAGAGAATTCACCAGAGCCAGAGTGGGGAGCAGAACAGGCAGACTGACAAAGTACACTGCTGAGGGGAGCAGTGGGCGTGGCAGGAGAGGTCTGCATGCCAAGTGGGACCCTCACCAGCGGCCAGGGATCGAACCAGCACTGCAGAGGCTGCGGGCAGCTTCGCAGCCCAGCACTCAACCCCTGTGCCACCAGGGGAGGCCCTATTTCAGTTTTTTAAAAATAGCTAAGTATGGTTCCACTGAGTATATATTCCACAATTTCTTCATCCAGTTGTCTGACAAAGGATATTTAGACTGGTCCTATGACTCTATTGTGAATAATGCTGCTATGAACATAGGAGTGCTTAAATCTTTCACAGTACTGTTTTCGCATTTTTGGGGGTAAATACCTAGCCGTGGTATTCTGAATCATATAGTATTTCCTTTTTTTGCGGAAAAACCTTACAATTATCCACAGATGCTGCATCAAATTATTATGCATTCTCACAATGGATGGCTATTCAAATTATTATGCATTCTCACAATGGATGACTATTCCTTTTATGTCTCATCCTCATCAACATTTGCTGTTTCCAGTCTTTCTGATACACACTATCGTCATGGGAGTGAGGTGATATCTCATGGTGGTTTTGACTTGCATTTTCCTTCCTTATAATATGTGGTTTTCAGACTTTGTCATGTGTGTTTAGACCATTTGAACATCTTTGCAGAATTACCTGTCTTTTTCCACTTTTTGGTTGGGATTTGTTGTTGTGTTTTTTTTTTTTTTTTTAAAGATTTATTTATTTATTTATACAAGCACTGGGTATAATCAGAAGCGCAGGAGGGTGAGAGAATTCACCAGAGCCAGAGCGGGGAGCAGAGCAGGCAGACTGACGAAGTACACTGATAAAGGGAGCAGCAAGTGGGGCAGGAGAGGTCTGCCCGCCATGTGGGACCCTCTCTGGCAGCTGGGGATCGAACTGGCGCTGCAGAGGCTGTGGGCAGCTTTGCAGCCCAGCGCTCAACCGCTGCGCCACCAGGGAGGCCCTGTTGTTGTTTTTTGAATTGTATGAGTCCTTTATATATTTTGCAAATTAGCCACTTGTCAGACATGGGATGTGGAAATATTTTGTCCCACTCTGTAACCTTTTTGTTTTTGTAGCTTTTGTCTT